TTGCTGAATTGTTCAGCAGTGACTTCTAATTGCACGGAGATTTTTAAGGGATGATAATTATTACTTAAGATACAATAAATAACACTTATCAAGCATCCATTACAAAAAATGTCATAATCATGAACGATTCTCATCATTCTCAACTTGGAGCAAATTGATAAATAAGCGAGGAATTCAAATCAAGAAAGTATCGAATTTTTCGACTGGCAGATTGAATTGATAATGACTAAATTACTTCAATTTAAAAATTTATCTAAACTTTCTTTATTTTTGAGTTGAAACTTTAGTTATTCATAGCCTAATTCTAACAGCTCTGACGAATGAGAAGATTTTCGTAGATTGCAGATTATAAGGTTATAAGGTTCTTTAAAGCAAGAAAGCCAAATTCGTTAATCATTTGATTTTCGTAGAATAAAGACGAAAAAAACTTATCTTTATTATTTTACTCATTAATATTCACACAATGAAAAATGATTTTCCCACAAATTTAGTTCATTTTGCTGCTTGGAAGGCTTTCGCTCACAGTATGATAAATGATCGCAATATTTCAAGAGGAAAACGGAGCAATTGTTACCGTATTTAAGCGTAAGAAAAGAAAATGAAGAGTATAGAAGAGTATAGAAAATGCATAGTTATGACCTCGGGGATCTGGCGATTGCGATATATTTGTGTGCTTTTGGTTGCCAAGCAAATTTTGAATTGAGTCATGTTTTGGAGATATCAGACGACGGTTTGCGAACCGCATAATGATTTAGATGAGAATTTTTTGAAAGAGAGTATATTTATTTAAATAGCAGATTGTTGGGGATGGAGTTGGAGAATTTGCTTTTAGTAAATTTAAACGACATATACGACGAATTGGATAGCGAAAATTTTGGTAGAACCGGGGCATTCTTGTTCAATTTAGGCACTGAAATTTGAAGAGAGGGTACGAGGTGAATAATTAAAGATTTAAGAAAAAGAAAAAAAGAACGAGAGCAAGCACAGCCTTGAGAATGATGGATTACCACAGCTGGTGCAGAATACTGAACGATCGGCGAAAGTGCTTCGCTAAATCGAGTTGAACTGACAATAAACGGGGCCATTCTTTTTTATCATTATTATTATTACATATCGCATTTCATTAAAATTATTCAGTGGCAGAAGTTTCATTTATAAGTGAATATGAAGTTACGACGATATATTTGTCGGTTGGACAAAAGAAAATAATAATAAATAAGCCATAATAAGTGGTCAGAATTTGGTCAAATGATTTTATATGAGAAACATTTTTCGTGCAAAAATTTTATTTCACAAACTGCATCAAATATGAAATTTTTTTGCAAGGCGTAATCTAGAATTAATTTAATTTAATATTTAAATTTGATTAAAGCTTTCACCATTTATTACCAGAGATTTCCAATATATATCCAAAATTTTGGCAGAAATTGTATGCCTAAAATAGGTGTATTCACAAAATATTCATTTAAGCAAGATAAAATTCTGATAAATAACATTCTGAGGCTTAAATTACTTGGCACATTTGCTCATTTGTTTCGTCTGATAAGAAAGCTATAAAATCATCTATGTAATTAACGCTCACCATTTCCGATTAGGCTAATTTCTTGGGCTGTTTTCATAGTTAGAAATTTTTGCTAGGAATTCGCAGAAGTCAATAGGAACAAGTAGATTTTTGATGACAGGTTTATCCCTGGCAGAAGCTGAATTCTCTTGGTACAATAATTTGAATCAGCATTCATTCTGTTATAAAAACTTTTAGAATCAAATAGAACCAAAAAAAAAGTTTTATAGTATTGCCTTTTGCAAGTGTTATACATCAAGTATTTCTGGTCAACAATATTCAACTGGTAGCTCGAGACTAGCTCTTTCAGATGGTCGAATAACACATATCACATAACACATTCACGAAATATTTGTAGCTTTTGTCATTCGAATTTAACAAAATTGGATTCGAAAGTAGAGTTCTAATGAATTAAATATTAATCGCTTGCATAGGCTACCAAAGATCTGTGGTATTGTAAATTCGTCGAAAACTGATAGATCTGAAGAAAATAGCAATCAATCTTATGTACAACAGATATTTTTCTTCTGAAAATGCATACTTTTTTTGTCTGATGAGTCTAACAGATCTTCTAAAATCGCCTTCTTGCGTGGGATAATTTATCATCATCTTAAGCGTAACACACCATCATTGTTCGTTCATAAATCACATCCAATGCTTTGAATTAAAATATCCAATATCATTTACTTTCACCAATCAAGTATCTTGATTTTTAATTTGCTTTATGGATCCCAATTAAGAAAATTGCAAGCTTCAGATATAGCCTACAAATTCTATACATGTTAATATTAATTAATTAGTTAAAAGGCGAAAATTTTTCGCGATAATTGACCATCTGACTTTGAATCGGAAATAGATTATAAAGATTTTGTTGAAAATTGGGAAATTCCAGGCTAAAATTTACGAAAAATCAAGAAAGTTTATCCACAAATTACATTCATTAACCCGTTGCCAACCTTAGCATAACAATGGTCTGTTTTTCTAAAATATAACTATACAAGAGGAAAATTCAGTTTTTCAGAAGGAGTAATTTGGCAATTGTTTCCGTAATTATGATGAATCGCTTAAGGTCTTCTTGCATTGACAAGTGCACAGCAGAAAATTATAAAATTATAAAGATATAATCAATAACTATTTTCTCCTTAGAAACCCTTGAGTAAATTTTTAAGTTATTAAATTTTTTATTATTACATAAAAACACAAACTCTTGTTTGCAACACTTCTGAATGGAAGCAGGATAGCCGAGCTCTCGTAGTTTGTAGATTACCGACTCAATAGTGGTGTGAACTCACTCACTTTTTTCCCATTTCTATTCCATGACTTTCTAGGAAAAATTTCTTAAGCGAGCTTAACAAGAAATAGTTTCTCATTCCTTACTACCTGAAAACTCCAATTTTACTATAGATTTGTTTTAATTGTCGTATGAATAAGTTTTGATTTGTTTTTTCAATTTTTTCTTCATCACTACAGCATTTGTTTCTATTCATATGATCGTTCATTACAGTTCACATTACTGTTCTTTCTGATCTGATATTTTCTAAAATAAACTGTTTTTCATTTTTCCTCCTTTTTTTATAAGTTTTTTCCTTATAATCCTCCGGATATTATAGTTCTATTCTTTTTTGATCCATGGTAACAGCCAACATTCCTTTGGGGTGTAAATCATATTTCAATGCTATTTTAATTGGTAAATTAGACAGTGATTAGATAGATTTTAAATTAGATAGATTTTCGAAGTGATCAAATAATCATAAAACTGACTTTATGCACGTAGTTGCGAAGAATTATGGGTTATAAATTCGGTAAGTTATGGGAAAAAGTTGTACGAGTGCAGTCATTCGTTCAAGATTCTCAATTAGATTACCCATCGGAATAGACAATAAAATGCGATAACGCAACATCTACCAGTCTTAATCGCGTTAATTGCATAAATAGATTCTTAACTAACTTTATGATTTTTCTTATTTCTCCATTTCTTGTTGCTGAGGTCAACTATTAATAGTATCAGTACTTAATTATTTATAATACCCTGATGATTATCAAATATTAATGGCTACGATACATCTACAGTAGTGCGAGCCATCTGAATTGTCTTTAAGAATACTCTTAGAATTCAAAGCATTGTAGCAATACAATCGCATCAGTTTATAAATATCTGAAAAATTGATGATAACTGCTTGTCAAATAGCATGAAAAATCATAGATGCCTAAAACAAAAAAGTGCTTTTTAAAAACTTAATCAAGGTTTCTTAAAGACTGCGCACCCTTAAAATGCCAATAAGCTTGAATATAAGCATCGTTTTTTTTCAAATCTCAAGCAGATCACAGTAACAAGCAACATTAATGGCTTCAATAGAAATTCATTAATAGAAATTTGTGCCACATCTCTACTCCATTATATTCTTATGTTGCATTTATATCTATCAAAAGAATAGGCTTTGCTAAGTAACCAAATAGATCCTTGCAAGGTAAAGATTAATGGCCTTTGATTTATATGCATATGGTCGCAAAAATGTCCTTGTTAAATGTATCAAAGCAAATCTAACTTGATTGTATGGACTTAGATATGTAACAAGACGATCAATTTATTATCTTTTTCTTAACCTAAGATGAATAATCATGAGGAAAGTCATTCCAGTAAAATAGTAAAATATGTGTGAAGAATCTCGTTGACAGGATATCATTGCATCTATTTATCACAGCTGTCGCTGATCAATCAGAATGCCAACTATAATCAAGTGATTAATTCCAACTCTTTGAGATGATTTACGTTCATAATCGATTAGGCGCTGTCACCAATAATGTCAAAACATTTTTTTGCTTCGACTATTGTTATTGAATTCTTTTTTTAAAAAAAGCAGATATTTTTTTAGCTAATAACGTGCAAAATGGACAAGGTTTTTTTTGTAGATTTCTGATCAGCCTAAAGAAACCCTTTCTTTTTTATTCTTCAATTTTCGCAAAATGATTAATTGAAGCTTAGTCAGCAGTAGCAGACACATTCATCTGACTGGCATTTTAAACTGATTTGGTTCTTCATTCCATTAACCAATTTAATATTTTCTAATATTATTTTTTAAATATATCTTAAATTTAAAATTTAAGTAATATCTTAAATCATAAATTGCGGCATATGTTGTGTGTTATCACATATCACTTGATGCCAATAAGATGGACCATTGAATCTTCTTGTTTCCTTATAAATTATGGATCATATTTTTTAAAAAGAAAGAGTTTACTATTTTCATAGTTATTGTAATTGATAATTCATGTATCTTTATTTTATATAATTTCGGTGAAAGAAACACCAGTTACTTTGAATTATGTTATTTGTGTCGGCTGTTGCATGTTTCTTTTCTAAAACATATTTGTCACTTTTTCTGTCGTTAAATAGAAAGTTCTTAGGTTTATCAACGCTCGACGCAGGATTGTACAACCAATGATCGATCAAAGTAATCGTGCTGGTAGGCCAAATGGTGTTAACGTTTTCAAAAATCGGAGGAGGAAAAATAGTGGCCAAAGTGCAGGTCCTTCGCCAGGTTGTTTTCATCTCCAAAATGATTTTTGTTGAACAGAATCACCTTTATGCTTATTTACTTTCATGCATTTTGATCGAAGGTTTTGCACAAGAAGAAGCAATAAAACTATAATAATTTATATGAGTTCCCATCAAAATTAAACTTCTGCTTCTTTTCTCACTTATTCACACTTTAATTCTTATTATGCGCTACCAGTGTGAACCATCGATATTATACACTGCGATCATCTTGGTGAAAGTGTTTAACCGTAATCGTTTGTCTGCTTTTCGAGAAAATTCTCATTGATGCACTGACTCTATTATTTTGACAACGAGAATTAACATGTTGTAATGAATGTTAATAATGCTAGCATGCCTGGCAAATCTAATTTTAAAAAAACTAATACCATAAAACACTGGATGTAGAAGCCAAAAATGAATCAAGGTCAAGAATTTTTGACCCATTTTTCACAATTCAAGCAAAGAAATTCGTTCAAATCTCAATCTTTTCATTTGTATTCATAGTGTTGATGTTTCATTAGAATAATGTGAATCATAAATACAATCGCAGATCTTGTTGGAGTACCTCACAACTACAGTCCTGACAGTGGTCAACTGGCTGCTGCAGCAGGTTATCCGTCACAGTCCATGTTTCCTCCTAATCCTTATGCAGCTGGAATGGCGCATCCTGCTTTCTCAAATCCGTAAGTTCCTCAAAAATATCGAAATGCGGAAACAATGAGAAAATGTTAGAATGTTGTGAAGTCCTACCAAATCATGATATAGATTTCCAGAGAAGCAATATTTAGTGGATGGATGTAAAAATAATTCAAAACTAATCAAAATATTACTTTTAGTGCTTTAACTGGCCATATGTTTATGCCGGGTCCGATGAGCCATATGATGGCACCCTATAATGCAGCTCAATCGCAAATGGGTGCAAATGTTTGGATGGAATCGCTTATGCCCGGTCATATGCCAATGGACGCCTGATGAATAAACAACTGTTCTCGAAAATTGCAGAATTTCGCTCAATTTCATGATGTGGCAGGGTGATAACGTTCATGACATGAAATTTTCCTTTTCTTTAATTTTTGTCCTTTTTATTTTTTTGTTTTTTGCCCTATTTAATTTAGCTCTGTTATTATGATTATTTTATATTTTGATGAATTTCGAATAGTATTTTTTCCTCTTTAAGAGCGCTTTATTCGATAATATGCAGGCAATTCACTTTTGCACCTGCAGCTTGCACTTCTCAAGTGCATGTGCGCTCTGCATTTTATTGTATAAATTTTTATATTTTTAGTGTTTTTTCGGACACAGGGCGGATTTTTGTATGACAGTCTTCGCTAATTTTTTATAGATGAACGGGCTCTGTTATCCATGACTTTTTTTAAATTTGTTTGATTTCTTTTTTTGTTCTTCTTTGCATGCTAATCTGGCTTTTTTATTGAGAAGGGAAATTTTTATAGTAGAAAGGATATCTCTGCTTATTTAGTTACGTCATTTCAACACAAAACTGGCAATCTTACTGATTATGTCGACCTAAAATATAAATTCCTTATCTATTAATTTGTCGAGATGGTATGACAAGTTAAAGTAATTTTAGCTAAAAGAAAATTCTTAGGACAAATTAATCATAATTTTTTTCATGCTGATTTATTGAAATTTGTGATGCTAATAAATATTGCTTGTAAAATTAATTTTATCAGCAATTTATTTAAAATTTATCATAGTGCTATAATGTTATAAAAATTTTGAATTGAGCTTGTCAGTCAATCCGGATTATCGAAAATAAAAGTTCTCATACTTAAAGTTTTAATTTTTTTTAACCAATTTTTTTCGCAGCTTTATGATTTTTCTAAGGGAAATATTAAAATATTAAGATAATAAATCTTATTAACGTTTTATTCGTCAAAAAAATTTTGACTATTATGTTTTCTTTGGTTTTGAACATGTTAAACACTGAATAAATTCGCATTCCTCGAAATGGTATCATTAATTCCTCATATATATATTTATATACATATATGTATATATATAAGGAATTATATACAAGTGTCGATTAAATAAAGTGCAAGAGAATAGGATGGAGGAAAAAATGGAAATAAAAGAAAGCAATAGAAAAAAAACAAATAGCAATTTGATCGAATTTCTTTTTTTTTATGTAGCGAAGTTCAGATATATTCATTATTTTAAATGCTTTTTTAAAGTTTTTTGAAAGTGTATTGAGTTACTAGAATATCAACTGAGAAAAGACGAAATTTGTGATAATTAATCAAAAATTTAATCAGAAAAATATTTTATGACAAGAAGAGTACTTGTAATTGGATTAAGCGATTAACGAACTAAAAAAGTTTGATCTGAACAAAGATTTTCCATCTTGCTTCATTAGAGTCGAACTTTCTTCAATACCGTCCAGTTTTTAAGAGTAAGATAGGAATTTAAATTACCATATTGAGAGGCAAAAATTTGGATTCAGTCTCAAAGGGCAAGTCTAACATTAAATCGCCCAGGTAATCCTAGTAACCTTCTATCGCCTGCTCTCTGGTAAAATTTTCTAGCCGTATAAAAGTTGGCAAAACCAGCCAAATCAGAAGTTTGAGCGTTATCCTTATTTACTTTCAAATTTCATTCACGTACGATGGAAAAATGATAACATCTACTTGCAATTCATTGAAATTTATTGAAATTCACTTCAACCAACTTATTTAATTGAAATGGGTCGAAATATGACAAATTTATTTCATACTTATAGAAGCAAACAGTAAATTTTTGTTTGAATTCAAAAGCGAATCCAGATTTCGCAGAAAAACGATAAACAATACATATAACAATAATCACTGAAATATCGAACAGTGCTCGTTGCTTTTCTAAATTTATTGAATATGAAATTATTGACAAGCATTTACTACAGACCTCCACCATACGAAGAAAACCGCCTTGTATTCTACTCCTAGATATGAGATTCTGGCTAACTTGGCTATATCAATTTATAGCCTATTTTGGTAAGTGAAATATAATCACAAATATTTGTCCGACTGAAACTCTTCACCGTTAAAGAAAAGCAATAATAAAAGGGAACAAAAAGACCGAATGAAGGAGAATATATCCCTAATGATGAGTTTTTTTTTAAGTTGAAGACCAATCCCAGTTGTGTTAGCGATCAACCTGTGATTTTACCGCCAAATAACTTATAAAAAAAAAAAATAACTCGGCAAAAACAACCGCAATAACAATACTAATAGCAACAGCGGAAATAGCTTGACTAGAAATGGCGAAATTTTTTTGCTTAAAAGATATCTATCATAATCTTATCTGATTGTTCAGTGATTTTATCATTGCAGATAAAGGCATCACTGAAGGCCTAGATTGGCACGCGGTTCACATCAAATTATTCCACATTTTATGGGAACTTACTTTTCATTGGAAATTCATTTTAATCAAATCAAAACATCATCAAGCTATAATATTTTTTAGTATTCTCTGAGATTTTATAAAAAATCCTGGGGTAGCTGAATCAAATGCAAATTCCGATTTATAATTGATCACTAATATTGGGCTGCAAAAAACACCTTTGTCTTTAAATATCTTTTACAAAGAGACTATTTGCTTTTTTTTGTTTTCAATCGTTATTTTGTTCGAGATTATTTTATCCTCTGGGAAAGATTAACGACGATGAAAAGCTTGATTTTTAAAATGCCAAATTTCGCAATGGAGAAATGAAATATTTTTTGAGGAGATAAAGACTGAAATTTTTGAATTCATTGAAATATGAAATAAATCAAGATGATAACGATAAGAAGTGGCAATTTCGATAAAACAAAGTCTGGAAAAAAAAAGTTTTAAATCTTTTCATATGTTTTTAATTTATGTGTGAATTCTTCGCATATAGGGCCAAGAACACTTGTTAAAATGCTCACTCGATGGTTTTTATTAAATTATAAAAAATCATTTTCGAATAAAAGATAAAATCTTTTTGCGACAAGTTTTGCCATTCTTTAAATATTAAGAATAAAGAGAAAAAATTCACTCAAATTTCACGACATAGAATGCAAAGATAAGTTAAAATTATGTGAGAATGATCATCTTGATAAGAAATATGATCATTATTCGCGATCTACGATTTTTTAATTGTTCATTTAATTAGTTAGCTGGTGCTTTGATAAAACGATTAAAACGTTTCGAGATATTGTCCAATATTTTAATGAGTCATATAAATATAGATAATAATAATCTTTGTTTGAAGTAAGAGCTGCTATCTTGGAGGGAGAAAACTATGACTCCTTCGAAAAACCAAATATACTCGATATTGCAAACCAAACTTTTAAACTTGTTTTTCACTTATCTCTTCAGAGCATGAATTCATGGCTTCATGAAAATATTTTAGTCGTCAGATATAGTCGTCAATTTTCAAGAAACTCAATTGCCAACTAGCTCGAAGATTCGTGAAAATCATATAAAATTTTAGAATTAAGATTGCACCTCGACAAGTCGAAATTATGATCTGATAGAGGAAAATTGTCTGGAATTTGTTGGTCACTTTCAATGCAGATTGCGTTTGAAATGAATAAAAAAATTGCTTAATGATGCTAAAGCTTTGGTTGTGTTTTTCACGAAATTCGCGAAAAATTGCTTAAAAATACTTTCTGCGACTATTCTCCATTCAAAAGTATTTTTGGTCGTGCTAATAAAAATTGAAAAATTTACAATGCTACTCGTCCCCATCTCATTTATTTCTTACGACATCTCTAATTGAAACTAATACATTATTTGATTTGCAACAAATTATATATTGAAAAAAGCAATTTGTTGTTGCTAAATTTATTTTTTATTGGTTCAAAATTTATAACCATAATTAAAGAATTTATAACCATATCTGATCAAGTTTATAGTGTTTATATCAATGATCAGCTTTAAAATCGTACTTGGCATAAGTTCGGACATAATATGATTTTTATTTTTTTTTATTTCAAGAAGATTTCGATTTACTCGCGCGTTTAGTTATGAATATAATGCGAAGAGTTTTAATAAGATTTGCTTTCTGAGTTTAAATAAGATGATTGTAATCACAAAATGAAATGTCTTACACAGATCGTCTTACACAGATTTTCGCTTCCAGGGCAGAAGATATATGATAGATATTTTCTAAGAAACTAGGAAGGCTTTTTAAAACTAGTAATATTTGGAAAATAGAATTGGCATTTATTTATTCTTTTTTAAAAGAAATAGTGGTAATTTTTCCAGTTTTTTTTGCGAAATTTGATTATTCATTCTTGTTATTCTATGCTAATCTTATCACTTTTGAAATATTGCACAGACAGTTTGAGAGTCGTAGAAAATGATGGAATTTTAAAAGATATCATAATAAGTTGGTGCTGAAATTTGTCACGCTTGGCGCAAGATTTCTTTTGTGTCTGCATTGATTTTTTTTATTTCAACGTTGCTTTTAGCCTAACTTCATCGCATTGATAGATTGCTTCCACATAACTTCGCAAATTAACTAGTAAATAAATTCAAAAATGTATGGGTTATAGGCCAATTTGTACTCGAATAAATATTCACTAATAAAAATAAAATTAAAAAGTAATAAAGAATGTCCGGTGAATAACAGATAATTACAGCTTTTAACAGATTATTGAACTATTTAACACTAGATGATATCAAAGAAAAAATCACAAAAATCGACTAAACAAAGAGAAACCTCTGGCTCTCTTGCATAAATTTTTCGAATGAGAGTAAAAAATAAAAGATAGAAAGCAAAAAAATCCTTATAGAATCCGAACACCGCCAAAAGTGAGGGTAAAATTAAACGAGGAAGCGTCTAAACAATATTGGAAATTTCATAGGAAAAAACAAGATTTATTTAATCTATGCGATATACGCGATTTGTTTTCAATAAGATTCTTCCGCTAATAACATAACAAAAATATTCAAAAACATGCCCATTATTTTCATTTCTTGTTAATTAAATTTTTAGCTCAGCTGTGGTC